GGGGGGGGGCACGGCGGCAGCACATCTATTTAAGCTTCGAGGCATAAATCACCCGCTGCTATACTAGACGAATTGGCCCCGACAGGCCCACACGGCTCCACGGGGCCTCGGGCCCGGGCGGGGCGGCTATCACTGCGGGCCCACTATTTAAGACCTGTTCGGGAGTTCCCTCTGCGCGTGGCGGGGCGTGGCGTGGCGGGGCGGGGAGTTTAACGATAGCTCGGGGTAATTAGGTGACGTGACGGTTGAGTGGCTCATACCGCCGCAGCAGCCCCAGGTCAGGCGCATAGGTGTGGTGGAATGATGTCAAAATGTCCGCATTTTGAAGAACGTATCGTCAAAATATGCTGTTATTGCGGCTGGGTGTGGCCACATTGAGCTCATGTTTGACGTCGCCAGAGAGGAGGAGAAGCGTTGACCTTTTTTTGGCGGTTGTGTAGTACAGCTTTCGCCGATTCTTTTCAAATTGGAGCGGCGATGACACGCTGCTCTCCTCGGCTGCCGGCGCCCGGCCATATCCTTTGCTAAATGCGGTAAGGTGGAGAGAGGGGGGGGGGGGGAGCATACCAGCCCAGTTTGGAAGTCGCGCGACCGTGCATGCCTGGCGCTATATTCGCGAACTGAAGGGGGTGGGAGGAGGTAGGGGGGAGAACCACTTGGCCCCGACTCACCTCCGCACTCCGCGGGCGCCGCCGCCGGCCGCCGCCGGCCGCCGACGAGCTGGTCAGCCAGACCCGCCCCCGGCGAGTGCGAGTACAGTGTATGGCGCGGTGCGAATGAACTGTAAGATTACGTCGGATTTGACCCCGTTCGCCGCAGCCGCGCGCGCCCGTGCCGAGGGACGTGGGACGACTCCCTAGATGAAGTGACCCCGCCGAGGACTGTCCACGGGGCTGTCCGACCCGGGGCACAGTGGGCGGAAATCGAAAATTCAGGGACAAAAATTAGTTTTTGTACTTGTATTAAAACACCAATCAGTGAGGCATACTAATAGATAACATCTTAAAGGTCATAATTTTGCTTTGGTTTACTTTGTAGAAGTATTTTCGTTCTTTATAGGAGTATCTGAAGTTACCTCTATGCCGCCCGGCGTCAGTCCGCGTCATGAGACCATTTTGAAATTTACTTTTCACAATGAAAACGGACGTAACTGGACAAGCCGTCACCGAAAAGATGCAAAGAAAGGTCAAAATATTTCTTTAGAACCACAGTTTCCCTCACTCGAATTAGTATTTAAACTTAAATCATGTTTCAAAGTCGGTAAAACTCTGTGACGTAACCGTCGGTTTATAAGGAATATCTATTGATCGCCGGCGTTCGCCGGGCAGAACTAAATTGAAATACGTTCTTTATTGTATGGGTGATGAAGCCCTTTTTGAATTTTTTGCCGCAACGTGCCGCTTTACTTACACGATCACTTCAAACTACGAATACTGCCTCCGATGCGACCCGCCCGATGGTTAGGTTGCTCGGGGAACATAGTGTCAGTTTCTTTTAGTTTCAGACAGTTTGACACGAGAATGGTATGGCAAAAGGTGAGGACGTTAAAAACATTCTTTTAATTTCAACTGAAATCAAGCTCTGGAGAAAAGTGAGTCATAAAAGGACGGGTGTAAAGAATATTTTGAGGTTAGGTTGTCCTGTGCAGGGGAAGGACAAACGACAAAGTTGCACTTCGTGATTTCTCGTGCTGTTCGTTCTGTTTTTCATTGAAAATCGTTTCTTCTTTCATAATAGCTTTGTTGCCTTGGCACCAATTGTTTTTTCACAAAAATATGTAAATTGAAATAAATTTTCGACATGGCATTACTATATCTTATACCACTAAAACATTTTAGATCGAAGTGTATGTCATAGATGACTTCTACGTTATTTAAAACGACTCGATACCAATTTTCACCGTCCTCCGTTGAGCGGTTGATTTTTGTCCCACTTTTACTGATTTCCACCCACTGTGCGGGGGTCCGGGCGGGGCGGGGGGCTCCGGTTGGAACTGGTAAAGCGCCGACAGCCACGCGGCACGCGGTTTCGCCTACTTCGCCTGCTTCGCCAGCTTCGCCTGCCTGCCCCCGCGATGCTGCTGTGCCATTTCAAGCCACCATAGCACGACGACGCCCACACTTACACCCGACTGTGGTGCTCACTCTACATTCATACGCAAAAGGGGCATTGTATTCGTCACATGAAAGTGCAACGAAGGCCTATCGCATTTGTTGCACATTTGTTGGTGACAAAATTTGGAAGTGTTTTGCGGGTCAAATATAATTATTGTATTAATTATAGCTGTCGAAATTAATTTGCACAATTTTCTCTCACCAAATCTGATGTGCCATTTTCAAAGCAATTTCTTATTTTGCAGAAAAACTTACTGTTCCGTACTTGTTCTTATACTTGTTCCGCACTATTTAGAGTGTCGTATCCGGTGCCGGCGCCCCCGCCACCGACGCGTGCATGTGGTGGCGCTGTAATCGTGTGGTGAGTGCCTCTCGCACTCGTCGCAAAAGTTTCGCCCGCAGTGTATGTGTGTGTGTTTTATACACTCGAAAGCGTCCCTTTGGCTAAGTTTCCAGGCACGCGGCGGTGTGGCGACGACAGAGAGCAAGTAGTGCACTGGCCTCCCGCCGCCTTCTTCTTCTGGGGGGGGGGGGGGGGGGCTCTCGCGGCTCGCGGCGCCCAGCTACTCTGGTTGGTTACTGTGTGTGTGTCGAGGGGATGGACGTTCGCGTATTGGCCTAAGAGTCACGTCGTCATAGCGCGTATAGAAGTTAAAAACGATGTCTGATTTTTAATATTTTGAGGAAAAGAGGAAAATTTTGAGGAAAACTTCTTCACCAGATTTTGAGGACATCTTCTCGAAACATGTGGGAATTCCCCCTTTTCTTTTGAGTAGCCTTCTTCAAAATCCGAGCAGTCACGTCAGTCGCCTGCAAGCCGCCACGTAGGCCAGCCCGCACTGCACCGAAGCACACTGATTTGTTGTTGGCCTACCCATCAGGCGTTGTGTGCGTTCGATGCGATCTGTGATAAGTCGCGAGAGACACAGACTGTTCCGTCTCCATCACTGCCTCCGACCCGCCCGCCCCTCCCATTCTCCCCTGCATGCCCTAAGATGCGATGCGATGGGGAGATGCGTGCTTAGTTACGTTGTCTGCCGAGCCAACGAATGGAACGTCTCACTGTAAAAAATCCAGGGTAATTTTATTCACCCATGTGTGGATAAATTTCTCCTTCTGGTATGTAATTCAGATTTACCCACCCACCGGGTGGGTAAAACGTTAGTACCCTCGTTAGGGTGTAAATGTGG